AGATACTGACTCACTAGTAGGATAAGATAACTGAGTCTGTTTGCCAAGTCTGCAACCATTACAATGTAAGGAGACATCTCCAGATACAGACCCTAAGAGACCCTGACGCACTAAGGAAGATAAACGAGAGCCACAGATGTGGCCAAGTCGATGATGCCACTGCTGGAAGGACGCAGACGAAGAGGCAGCAAGAGCATGGGAGCTGGCAGAGGTGGTGGCAGCGGAAGGAACACAAAGCCAGTCAACTTCCCAAAGGCCCTCTGACTCACGGCGCCGGGGGCCAGCACCAACCAAAGCTTTGGTGCGACGATCCTGAATGGAGCAAGAGTCGGTGTCAAGAATGACACGACAACCAGAATCAGTAAGTTGGGCAGCAGAAAAAAGATTCATGGTAAGGCGAGGAACATGTGAAACACTCGGAACAGAAAAAGATGGAGTGGAAAGAATACCACGACTAGCAACAGGAAGAGGTGTGCCATCGGCGGTAAGAACATTGACAGGCAAATCAAGAGGTCGGAGAGAAGACAACATAGAAGAATCAGAAGACATGTGGAAGGAGGCTCCAGAATCCAAAACCCACGAAGATGTACCTGACTGTGTAGATGCCGACGGTGGTGGAGAAGGGGCTGCAGTCACAGCAGCAGCTGAACCAGTCGACGTAGAGCCTGAGGAAGCAAGGAGGCGCTTGAGGCGAACAATGTCCTGGTCAGTGAGTGACGGAGTCGAGGAAGATCCAGGAGTCCCACTGGAAGAGGAGCGGCGCTGGTCTCGCTTCTTCTCACGACAATCAGACTCTGGGTGACCGGGCCGAGAGCAGTAACCACAGAAGGTGTCACGGCGCGACCGGCCCCTCTCAGTGTACGCAGGGCGACTCACCCCCCCTGAAGGTGTGGGGAGGAGCGGTGGAGCGGTGAGCCGAGCAGACGACACAGGAGCCCGAGCAGCCAACACAGACGGGATCACCAGCAAACCAGCAGAGCGAAGGCGGGTCTCTTCAGCACGAAGCTCAGCAAGCACCTCCGAGATAGGAACACGGCCACGAGCAAGCAAGTGAGCACGTCGCGGCTCAAACTCTGAGCGGAGACGGGATAAGAACTCATGGACCTTCTGAAACTCCAGATCAGACCGAGTAGTCTGACAGCAACGACAGGTGCCACAAACAACTGTCCGAAGAGAGTCAAGCTGACGCCAGATGGCAGAGCACTGGGAATAGAACTCATCAACAGACAAATCACCCTGCTGGAGAGCATGCTCCTGACGCACCACAGAGAGGTAGAGAGCATCCCCAGAGGGCTGATAGCGCTGACAGAGGTATGACCACATCGCTGCAACAGTACCGAGGCCCATGAATTCTGACGCGAACTGAGGGAGGACACTCGCAGTGAGAACGGCAGCAGCCCGAGCATCATCATTGCACCACTGAGTGTAAGCAGACAGGTCATCACGGTACACAGAGAGAGCATCTGAATAAGCGGATACCTGCTGATCATAAGCATCCACCGCAGCATCATCTAGGGCCTTGGCGGCATCCCGGTCAGCCTGAGAAGCATCAGCAGCAAGGACTGGCGGCACGGGTGGAATTGGGGCCACGGGCGGAGCAGGACATGGCGGACAAGGGACCTCGCCAGACAGAACACCCCACAGAAGAAGTCCACGCATATGGATGCGCATGAAGCCCACAAACTCAGCATAGTTGGTGCCATCGAAGATCACCGAGCAACGAGGAACAGCCACATAGCCCGAAGATGACATACTGAGATATCCCTCTCTGCCCCCCTTTTTTTTCAACGGATGCAGAACTGGATCGGGATCAGGGGACACGCGCGCCCCCGATTTGGGATCGGGCAGGAGGCAAGCGCGCTCGAGGGGAAGCCGGCGCGCAGAAGCGGGATCCCCCGAGCGGGAGCAGCCCAAGCGGAGCTCCCGAGCGGAAGCAGGCACGAGCGGGAGCAGCCCCCGAGCGGAGGCACAGCCCAGGAGCCCCGGCGAGGCGGTCTCGGCGAGGACCAAGCGGAACGGGACCGGGGCGGTGAGGTCCGGCGGATCTGGGCACGGGGATGGAGCTCCAGCGACCTGGCGCGGGAGGCGGCCCACGCGGTCGCTCGCACGCTCGACCGAGCGAAGCGGGAGAAGCAGGGGCGGGATTCGGCAGCGGGAGAACCAGTTCGAGGCCAGGGAGCGAGTCCCTGGCGGATCCGGAGCGAGGGGTGGACGAGGAGGACCGGGCAGAGCCCACGGCGAGCCGGACCGGAATCAGGCAGAGAGCAGGCCGGAGCGAATCGGGGGAGAAGATCTAGCACGGAGTTGCAGCGTGCGGGAGGAACCTAACATCTGATACCATGTTGGATGAATAGCAACTGTGTTCTCAGGAGGGCCAAAGGCCAATACATATACAGGTGTGTGGTAAAGTGCAAGAGACCCCTTATACAATGGGGATAAACCGAAAAAGGCTATACACATCTAACAGTTCATTTGCGTGGCATGTAGATAATCTGTCTTGTATTTCCTTAATGGCTTGTGTGGTTGAATGAACTACCAGCAAGCTGAGGACTGTCTGAAGTCACTGGCTAATTTTCTTTGTGCTTACTTTTCAAAATGAACAATATACTCATACTGTAAGTTGAGTGGATGCTTTCATTGCTCTTCTATAATGATAAGTTATTTTGCCCAGGCCTCCACTTTGATCAGGCCTTATTTGTGCCAAACCAATCGCAATATAACAAGCTTGGTTCGCATGCATCACCACCTCCAGGGAGAGAGCAAATTGATTTGTCATGGCAATTGTCGCTCCAAACAGTCTGGGAAGACTTGCTTCGCGGCAAGAAAGGTATACTAAAAGTTCGTTGCAGTTAGTTCTCAAACTGGGTTGTACACTTGTACTGTCAACACGACCATTTGAGTTAAAGATGATTGATGAACTTCAATGGGAACAATGCAGGTCTAAATGGCACAAGTTCTAGCGGGGCTAGTTTAGTTTTTGAATCTCTTCCATCAGCAATTAAGTGGCTAAGGGAAACTTCTCAACAAAACCAATCTACTTCATGGCAGGTAATTTTTTTGGGCATATTTGATTGTTTTCAGTGATGTTCTCTGAAATGTCTCGTAGCAGTACTACATTATGTCATGCGATGACTGGAATATTTCACCCAGCCATCCATAACTAGCTACCCCCCTCTAGGCATTGTAGGATCTGTTATCACTTATCCTTTACTGACCCTCATTCACACATGTATGTAATTGTCTGTATTTTTGGCATATATTATTCTTCTACTTGTTCAATTCACGTTCATTTGTTTGTTTACTTCATCTGGTTCTGCTATTCCATGATTTATACCTGCCATTTTATTACACTGGTGTTTTGGGTTGCTTTATGTTTGTTCATTTCTGCTAATCCATGACTAAGAACATGTGTTATGTATCTGTATTTATTCTCTTGCAAGTTGCAACTACTTTCCTACTCGATGCTTATAGGTTTGTTTTTGTGTACTGAATCAGGTCTTGGTTACTGGCTCCCTTCATCTCGTTGGTGATGTCTTAAGATTGATTAAGATCTGATTCTCCTTGCGTCTCGTTGGTGATGTCTCGAGATTTATCAAGTAAATTTGGTTGGAATACAAGGTTCAGATTGAAGTGTCTGTTTACTAGACCACCATACACCGGAGCCTATCGTTATTTATGATTGGCATCCACAATACAACTACCTGGCTGAAGAATGAGAGACTTGAAGGCCATTTTATTCTGACGTGGACTAAGCGCAAATATGTTGTACTACCTCATTTTTTGTTTCTGCCTATGTGGGCGCTTGTACAACACTGTAGCCCATTTTTGTTCAAATATATTCGCTCTGTTTTGGAGTGTACAGACAGCAAACTATATTATGATATGAATAACCATGCAAAATTTCAAACTTGGAATAACAATGTTTTCCAAGCTTCGATTCTTCAAAAATTATTGTGTCAAATCCGAATACCCTTCATACCGGCATTCCTGGTTGGAAGATAGAGAATAGACTGACTATGTCAGGTAATTTTCCTGCACATCCATCGTAACTTTACTTTGCATTGAAGCAGACAGGACTGACAGGTCACTCTTTTGCAGAACAAATTCTTGGGACTGAAGCTAGATCAGAGGTATCCTGATTGCTTGTTGGTTTGTGGCTCTGAGAAAACAGAGTATGTACATAATGTGAATCCAAACTGGTAATGTTTCACCTTCATTTCTCTTGTTTCTCCAGTTCATAGACTAAAGCTAGTAGCAACTTAACTGTTCATTTAGATAATTCTAGGAGTTATCTTTTTGCGCCTTGAATTTTTATATGAGCTTTTCGCTGCATCGTTTCTTTGTTTCTGAAAAGCGGTTCGGGTTCAAGGCCAAACAAGGTCTTGGCGTTTATTCATTGTATATTCAAGTGCATGTTATTTGATATTTATCATATGTGCTGTAAACGAGCATGTTTTTTCTGGTTATATTGAGAATGCATGTGTGTCTTTCTGGGTGCACTAAGAATAGATATAACATCGACCACCTTCGTCCAAGAAAAACTTGACTGACAGATAACAACGCCTTCTAATTTCGCAATTCTTCTTCCTATGTCTTGGACTATTGTTAGTATTTAGTTATCTTTGGACACTAAATATAGTTGAACACTTTGTATAGGAGAATAACCACAAATTAGAACCGTGCAAGGAGTAATCTCCAAAGTTAGCATTGTGACGTGGCACATCTATTCCCATCTCTGACCTTTTCCTGTGGCTTGGTGTTAGAGCCTAGCCTCTTCTATTTTTTCTTCTGCCTCTCCCAAATCCGGTTTCAGGCATTCATTTAAAGCCTTCCACTGCTTCTGGGTCCAACCTCTCTTTGGCTTTCATCTGCTTCTATTAGGTCGCAGATCGAGAGCCGAAGACAGGTTATCTTGATAGCATTAGAAGGCTTGAGCCAGACAACTCTTGTCAGCAACTGAGTGGCATATTTCGCTAGGTTTCATCACCAAGAATATCAAGATGACATTCTATGGTACACAGGACAAGTGCAAGGCTTGTGACAAGACCGTTCATTTCATTGACCTCCTTACTGCGGATGGCATTCCCTACCACAAGTATTGCTTCAAATGCAGCCATTGCAAAGGCACTCTTTCGGTAATGCCCCCTTCTTGACATTTGCTGTCGGATGCATCAGTTTCTCACATCCCTTTGCTCTGTGTGATCTTCTGAATTATGTCATGTGCATGAGCTCACGTTGAACTGCACTGTTTCTAGATGTGCAGCTACTCCTCCATGGATGGAGTTCTTTTCTGCAAGACTCATTTTGAGCAGCTTTTCAAGGAAACAGGCAGCTTCAAGAAAAACTTCCCCACATGTAAGTTTGTCCTGCATTGCTCTTCCCACTGTTGTTTTGTTTGCAATTACAGCAGAAATCTCATCACATTGTACTTGTTCTTTTTTTTTTGTTCAGGCGCAAAGGCAAATAATGAGCAGGTATTGCTTTCTCGCCATTCTGTGGGCCACACTTATATTTGTTGTGAAATGATTATGAAAAAATATATATTGCAGCCTGATAGGCTACCCTTTGCTGCTGATTTAATACGAGTATTTCGTAGAGTACAATCAGCAATATCATTATTTCCCAATTTGTCACAGATTGCAGCTCATAATTCGTTTTCTTCCCTACAGTCTAAGGCCCCAAACAAGTATGGCTCTGTGTTCTGTGGAACTCAGGACAAGTGTGCTGCCTGCAAGAAGACTGTGTACCCATTGGAGAAGGTAATAAATTCCCGTTCTTGAACGATTAAGCCGGTCGCGATTAAGCAGTGGAAACTTTGGTAACTGGGAAATCTCAACTTTTGGCTAACAAAATTTAAGAGCAATAAAATGCACATGCATATATGTGTTTGCATCATTTCAGTCCTTGATCAACCTACCCAAATTTCATGAGTAATCTTTGGACACGACAGACTACGCATGCACCTGTTGCCTCGTTTTCCATATGCAAAAGTCTGTCTGATAATTTCAGTTCCTTGGCAGATGACCTTGGAGGGCGAGCCCTACCACAAGACCTGCTTCAAGTGCGCTCACGGCGGCTGCATCCTGACGACCGCCTCCTACGCCTCCCTTAACGGGATCCTATACTGCCAGAACCACTTCTGGCAGCTGTTCAAGGAGACGGGCAGCTACAGCAACCTGCTCAAGCCCGCCTCGGCCAAGAACGCCGACGAGCCAGAGGCGGCCAAGGAAGAGGAGCAGGCGCCAGAAGCCGTCGAGGAGCAGGCGCCAGAAGCCGTTGAGGACCAGGAGCACTCATAAGAAACTACACTACACGTAAACAGTTACAAGAACCTACATACATGTTCGTTCCCCACGCTGATGTTGCTCTTGTGTATTGCTGCTGCTGCCCATCTTTATTCTCATCTCACAGAGGCACGCAGTGGCTGTTATGCATCTTATCGCCTTGGCTATCGCAATCTCGAATTCTGTATATCATTGCCCGTGCCATCGTCTCGTGAATGGTAGCAGAATTTGCACAAGTTTGTTCTATACTTCTATCTTGGTCTTGCAATTCCAAGGATATTCGAAAGAGGGGGAGGGAAGCATTGATCAAACACTGTTCTTGCTCTTTTTCTCCTCTATAAATGGTACTATTAGAAGACAATTCAAACTCTAGACAATTCGCCCGGTCGCCACTGTTCTTATCGTAACGTGCCCGTGTTATATTCCTTTATCGTACATAAATCAGGAGACAGGTGTGATTGACAACGAAACAGCCTCCAAGGTCACAAAAGGAAGAGAGCTGCACGCACCGGCAAATCCAATCTACCAGACAGGTTTTGTGTGGATGCTATTGCTGGGCAAATTGTCCAAGATTAGCCTCATCAGAATGTTGGGTGATAGACACGTTTTTTCTGTAGAGAAAACAAACTCAGATCGTTTCCTGAGAAGCTAAAACAGCGGTGTGTCTTTCCTCAAAAAAGCAAAAGCGGCGAACCAACATGTGGTTGGATGGCTAGAGGAACAGTGGCATCCCGAGCCCACAAAGATGTTTTATTACTCAAAAGGTTTAAACATTACATCCGGTCTCTGCATAACTAAGATGCATACAACCATAACCAAGTTCAAGTTTTTAAAAACCGATAAAGACGAAATACACGTAGTCATATGGAGATTGTATAGACCTAAAACATAGGAGGGCAAATCCAAAGATCATGTTGTCATCCATGGTACGAATGTCCCTCGCCGTGGCCTCCAATCGTGTACACACCTCTGTAAAACCGATCTTGATTCTCCACACGTTGTAAAGACGATCATAAACGAAGCGTACCGGTACATCTGTAGATAACCTGCATAAGAGAAGTATTTTTATCATTAAAAACCTTATCATTTCTACATAGCTGAAGCGACCAAATAACGGCAAGCGCTCCCGCATTGAGAATAATTCGAAACCTGTATTCAGTCCCATGTAAGCAATTGCCGAATATATTGGCAACACTATGTGGAGGATACAAGCGAGAAGCTACTTGAATGACTGACCATATAGAATGAGCGAACTTGCAATGGAAAAACAAGTGTTTTGTTGTCTCGTCTTGATGACAAAACACACAACGCAAGCTTCCATACCAATTCCTCTTACTAAGATAAGCTTTGCTAAGAGTGACTCCTCGATGAAAATACCACACAAAGATTTTAATAAAACACTGCTTCGAGGTAAAGGCACAGTAAAGCATTTTCATTACATTTCACTCTCTCCCACTTGCCTAAAATTGTGGTACATCTTGGCCACATTTGCTAGAAATCCAAAGCGTATGTGGGCCATACGAGGTACCTAATTACACGAGGAAACCTAACAAGGTTCAAAGTAATCACCTACAATTTTTAAGACATGACTATGAACACTTCTCCACGTGTACTAAATCGACATAGTATATCTAGCATCATGTCTCTACCACCGTGCCATAGATGATCTGGCCGCCCGGTCCATCCCTCTCATAACCTTTCTATCTAGCCTTTTAGTTCGGTGTAGTTTGTTTTGGCTATCCGCTACACGTGTTTGATTCAAACACGTAGCACTTCACTAATTATAGCCTAACACATAAACATATTCGTCAAGGTTTCAACAACCTCAAGTGATATGAATTTCAGCAAAATGTTAGCTATGCTAGCAACCATATATGGCTAGAAATATCTGAAGACATATCGACCAAGCTAAGGGGACATGAATCAATGTGCGAGGATTGCTAATTTAAAGGAAGGAGGCGCGAATACAAATTTTGCAGTGTGCGAGGATTGCCAATTTAAAGGAAGGAGACGCGAACACACACAAAAATTCATCGCCACCAATGCAAGGAGGAAGAATTACATTGATAGGCTCATGCATCGGCAAGGTTGGGTCACCGACTGTCGTGGAATTGTCACGACAGATGTCCTAGTGTGAGGACTTAGTCGTGGAGCCATCGCAACTAGGTTAGCTTAAAGGGGTTAAACGGGACAAAGGACACAGAGAGTTTATACTGGTTCGGCCCCTTGCCGTGAAGGTAAAGGCCTAATCCAGTTTGTGGTGGTATTGCTTATGTCTTGATTACCAGGGAGCGAATACGCTTGACCTAGATTTCGATCTCTTGTTTCTTGCCCTGAACCGCCGCCGGGTCATCCCTTTATATACACAGGTTGACGCCCAACGGCTCACAGAGTCCTGGCCGGCCCATAGACAACGTGTCCGGCTCGGTGACTAAATATACTTGCCTTACAATATAAGTCATACACATATGGCGGTTTACCCCTATGGGCCCTAAGTCACCCTTGGGTTTAGGCCCTTGCTTCATGAACCGCCATCTTCAACATCCTCATGGGCTTTGTATGGATGAACCGCCATAGGTATAACCCGGCCCCTCCTGGGCGGGTCATACCCAATAGTCATATCCTCAACATTAGACCTCAGATTGATTTGAACTCGTTCATGTCAATCTTCAACACTTAGAAAAATCCTTCCTTCTTTATTCTTGCGAGATCTCATAACCCACCATGACGTCATCTCCTGCGATTGTGGTAACCTTCCATGACATCACCTGTCATTAATATCACACAATACCCAATATATCTTAATAGATCCTTATATTTAATAGCCATCCTGAAAATCAAGGGGTCAGAACAGCTGGATAATCATTCTTTGGCCTCCTCATTTTTTGCACCCACCTGTTACCCTTCTCCTTATAAATAGGGTCAAGCAACCCTTCTTTCATTTTCCCTCTTTTCCTTCTCGTCTTCCACCTCTCTCCGCGACGCATCTGCACTTCTGAGCACTGCCGCCGCCGCGAAGCTCATCGTCTTCCTCGACCTCGGCCGCTGCATCAACCTGAACGGGACCAGAGAAACTGAGGCGCCTCTTCATCGCTCATCGGATCCAGTAAACACCTTATCTTCTCCACCATAGATCTCCATTAGGGTTTTTGCAGTTCTTATGAGTTCATCATCGTTCTTCGTCATGCTTCTGTTTAATCCTTGCTTTGATCGAAAAATGGCCTTAAAATATGCAGAACCTGTTTTTATCCTTCGTCTTAATCACTGAACATACCCTTTAGATGCAGAAATCTCGCCCATGTGCTAGTTCCTCTGCTGCTGCAATATTTAGGCTTTGATTTATTTTCTTTTTTCACACAACGCTAGATTCAAATCACCTGCTCCAGTCTGTAAAACCTGTTTATTCAACACTTAGCAGATTTCACTCTTGATAGATATCAATCTGGTCATGGCGGCTTACATCATCGATTATCACTAGCCATAGATCATTAGGCCCCTTTTAAGCTGCCACTCCGAATATATACTGTAGCGTTTTACTTCCGGCTTAATGAATCAACTGAAACCGGCAAAATTGTTCTTTCTTTTAGGCTTCTATCTTCACAATGCCGCCGAAGACAGTCACTTCATCTAATTGGGTTCCCTCCATTGTCACTGAGAACACGCTCAAAGACTTTCTCAAAACCGGCTATTTACCAACAAAAAATGTCATGCATTGGCGCGCCCCCAATCCAGACGAAGAAAGACCTCAGCCAAAGGATGATGAGGTCATTGTTTTTACTGATCACATGAATCGGGACTCTCACCACCCGGTTCTAAATTTTTCCGAGATGTTCAACACTTCTTTCAGCTTCATCCTCAAGACATCGGACCCAATTCCGTGTCAAACATCTGCAACTTTCAAGTTTTCTGTGAAGTATACCTTCAAGAGGAGCCCAGTGTTGAACTCTTTAGGGAATATTTTTATTTGAACCGCCAAAACGAGTTTACGAATGGACCCAGCTTGGAACTTGGCGGAATCTCAATTCAACGAAGAAGAGATGCTATCTTCCCCTATGCTTGCTTGCCGAGTCACCCCAAAGATTGGAACCAGACATGGTTTTACTGCAAAGATACCTCTTCGGCTGACAAGAATCCACTGCCATATTATCGTGTCCAATGTCTTGACCCAAAACATCATCTTCCTGAAAAGCTTACCACTACTAAACGTGCAAAGCTTGCCCCCACCATTGCAAAGGTCAAGGCTCTGCTGGGAAACGGGTTAACTGGCATTGACTTGGTTCGGTCCTGGGTTTCTTGGCGAATCATACCCTTGAGTCGCCGATCCGGCTTAATGTGTACTTACACGGGTGGTGTAAAGGATCCACTGCACCATAGCTCCGTGCGTTTAACCGAGGAAACAATCAATGAAATGACAAAGACCCTTCTGAATGAAGATCCGGAAGACTGCAGCAAAGTGGGTCTGAACCCTTTCTGCAAACTTAACCCGCCACCAGATGTGGGTCTTTAAATTACTTACTTTTACCTTCATCATCCAAATATTCTATTAACTCAACTTTGATGACTTTCACAGGCTGAATCTGATTTTTGGAAAAAGAAATATAACCATGAAGCTGCCAAAAAGGCCAGGGCTGCCAAGAAAGCTGTCAAGAAGAAATTAAGTACTTCCGAACTGTTTGAACTGGACGACAACTCTAAGTAGGAGGTAGCTCTTGATTCCCTTGGCTCCTTTTTCAACTATCTTATTGACATTGATTATCATCAGGATGACACGGGGGCTAGTCAAGCAGTCGAGGAAGAGGTAACTATCATTTTCTCTGACTCAGAGCCTTTGCCAAGACAGAAAATTTGAAGAGTAACCCGAAAAGTAAGCTTTTCACACCCCTTAGCTCATCTGGATCCTCACTTTCTTTTGAAGCAACAGCAGCACGAGAACCGGCGATAAACTCAGACCAGCGGAGGTGAAGAATTATTTTCCGGCTTACCGAATACTCCAGCTCCCAGGAAACATCGAAACG